GGTGCCCACGTGTTCACTTAGTTCACCACTTAGTCATTTAAATATGTTAATGACAGGTCACCGACTTCATGGTGAACGAAACCGGAAGTGATTTACCGATAATGTAGTGCGATCTTTTGGCTTTGATTTCCATGGGAAAACGACATGACTTTTTTTTTAAATAAAGAAATTAGTTTTTTTCGAAAGATAAACTGAGCATTGAAAATGAATTTAACAGTTTTTCGGTGATAACAGCTCATTGTCGAAAACTTGCGACACACGGACGTATTTATAAGGAGTATTGACAAAAGTTGTTGCAAGAACAGAAGCAGTTTCACTGTGCGATTGACATCCTAACACTACTGAACAATAAAGAGGTGTGAATATTTTTAGGCATGTTGTCGAAACAAATGAATAGGATTAGGAACAATGTACCAGCTGGTTGAAACAAAGTCAGTCACGGTCATGTTGAATTGGGGGTGCGGTTAGTAATAGGTACTTTTCATGTTTTCAATTTTTGTTGAGAACTCTTCAATGCTGAAGCCGAAATCAGGGGTGCGGTTACTATTAGGTATGCGGTTTATAATAGGATTTTAACGGTAATTCATGTCGATTCATATTCATGTCAACAATTTAACAAAAAACATCATGTTCATGTTGTGTTTTTTGTGACATGATGGCGTGCCATTCACAGTGATGATTCCGATGGTTCAATGTAGTGTTTTATTGTGACATGATGGCGTGCCATTCACAGTGGTGATTCAGATGGTTCAATGTAGTGTTTTTACTGTGACATGATGGTGTGCTATTCAGTGGTGATTCAGATGGTTCATGTGTTAACTGTGACATGATGGCGTGCCATTCACAGTGGTGATTCAGATGGTTCAATGTAGTGTTAACGGTGACATGATGGTGTGTCATTCACAGTGATGATTCAGATGGTTCAATGTAGTGTTTTATTGTAACATGATGGTGTGCCATTCACAGTGGTGATTCAGATGGTTCAATGTAGTGTTAACGGTGACATGATGGTGTGTCATTCACAGTGATGATTCAGATGGTTCAATGTAGTGTTTTATTGTAACATGATGGCGTGCCATTCACAGTGGTGATTCAGATGGTTCAATGTAGTGTTAACGGTGACATGATGGTGTGTCATTCACAGTGATTATTCCGA